ACTTCATTCAGTCATCAACAATTTGTTTTTTTTATTATTATTGTTTTCTTTTTTTTTTCTCTGTTTCATCANGGAGAGATACGAAGTATAATTGACCATAAAAATATTATAATATCTAACAACTACTATAGTCGGCTATCAACCTTAATCCTAGTTATCTTATAAGTTGTTTAATAATATTATATTGTTTAATAATATTTATTGCGTGGCAGCACGCGGTCTTCAATGCATGTGGGTGGTCTTCATACAATGAATGACATAATCTTCTTCATAGGTCATACTTCATTCAGTCATCAACCATATTTTTTTTTATTATTATTATTTTTTTTTCTCTCTGTTTCATGCCTTTGAGATTTATGGCATTCACAAGGGAAGTGAAAAGGCGTGTTTAAATAGTTTATTATAATTAAATATTTTATAAATGTTGAAAGTTTAATATAATTTTTTTTTGTCTGACTTGAGGACTCGCGCCTTAATTTGTAACATTCATACTCGCTACCGGGTGCGCTGGACCCAGTATATAAAATCCTACGTATTTTTCAAAAACTCGTAATAAAAGTGAAATCTACTTTATTAGAAGGATAATATGATATAAACAAAGACAAAATAATAAACCTGATAGTCTTATTTATTGCCTTTTTCTAAAATAACAACTTATTTAAAAAATTGAAGGTTTTTTGGCAAAATGAAAGTTATTTTTGAAAATTTGGTAATTAATTATTTAAAAAAATACCTTGTTTATTTTCGTAAACTACTATGATTTGCCTACTTATACCAATTAACAATTAATGAGAAATTTGTATAGAACATTGAAAAAATCACTTTGTTTACCGGGTCTAGTGGACTCAAAAACACATTTTTCGTCTGTAGCAATCACATGCAGTGGGCTATTTGACGATTATGACCGCTATTGGCTGTGCTACAATGTCGTGGAAAGGTACTAAGAGCGACAACATCGCAAACGTCAAACTTTAAAAGTTATTACACAAATATTGAAGAACTGGGTCCGTTAGACCCATTAGCGAGTCCTTAAGTGTTAATCTGTGTATTGTGATTGTGTGATTTTTTGTTTTTGTCCTTGCATTGGTGCACACTGGGTTGGCCATAACCTTTGTTGGGCTAGCGTCATGAGTCGCCTCCAGTGTTGTACAATATTTTAATTTCATAATTTAATTTTTATTTTCTTCTTGTTGTAATTATTATGTGGTGAGATAGTGGCGCCCTCTTTGTCAATGTTTTGTTTAGTGTTATTTTTTTTAAATTTAAATGTTGGTTGGAGAGGCGCCCGCTGAAAACCAGCGTCGGGGCACAAATGTCAAATAAAGTTTTTCTTATCTTATCTTATCTTATCTTATCTTATCTTATCTTATCTTATCTTATCTTATCTTATCTTATCTTATCTTATCTTATTATACAGGGTGTTTCTTGTAAGGTGTCAAGCCGAAGGCAGGTGATAGGTGAGGACTAGACCTATCGATTTCACCCCTATGTATGTTTTACGATTTTACATAGTTTAGAAGTTATCGTTAATTTTGTGATTTTTTTAAATTGTATAACCTAGTAGGCTTTAAATTTTTTTATCTTTTTTTTGGGTCGAGTTTTCTCAGATTTCTTTTTTTTGACAGATTCCCTATTAATTGCAGATTTTTGAAAAAAATAATCAACTTCCTATCTTTGATGCAAGATACAAAATGTTTGCTAGAAACATAAAAAATATGCTTTTAGCGGAACATTCTAAAATTTTCAACTTAAAAGTTAAAAAAAAAAACAAAATTNAGACTACAAGAACATTGAACATTTTGACATTTAATTTTATTAATTTATTCATGAGCACAATATGTATATCAGTTGATCATTTTATCTATCACACCTTTTGTTGTACTTGTATAGTTCCAAAATACTGAACTGTCCTATGCATGACATTGACAGTGGGGCGCCACCGTCAATACCGGATCGCTAGTTCCGATTTTTGCCATGTTGGAAACCATATAGTTGATCGATGGTAGCGCCCCCCTGTCATTGAGTTTGGCGGGACAGTTCAGCGTGGGTCATCTATATTTTGTGATGTGTACCATTTGTCACTAAACCATTGTAACCATGGTAACAATGTACATTTTGGCACTGGGACCTTTTGACGTTCATACTTTCTGCCACACTAACAACCGGTCCGTATGGACATTTTGACACCTGCACATTCCAACCGTTGAGCGTTTTTTCGCATTGACTACCCACTCCCAGAATGCTACAAACTGTATAATTATGTAAAAACTACATTATTTAGTTAAATTAATATTTATACAAAATTGTTTTTTACTTTGGTTGTCACTTGTCATAACAAAGTATAAACTATATTCAAAGTAAACAAACACTTACAAATGTATTTAAATAATGGGAATGTCACTACTAAATACATAATAATTATACATGTTACAGTGTCTTTAATCTTATATAAATATTATATTTTATTATATCTATTATCTTTACGTAAGCGTAAAGTATTGAAAAGTCATTGTGATCTTATTTAAATAGGTGTCCTACCGATTTTATGGAAAATAATATTTAATTAAGAAAGTAAAGTAAAAGTATTAACAGATGACAGCACAACAGAATACATTTACGTGTAAATAATTTTATTTTTATTTTACAAGGAAAACAATAGAGTGTATAAACTATGTAGACAAACATTTTAGGAATGTCATGTCAAGTCCATCTTGATGTGATTTAATTTTGTCGTTTGTATATTTAAATTGGCTATAGTATAATTATTTTGTAAAATAAGTAAAAGTTGACATATTGTTACCTACTAGTTGTAGTAAGGCCACCTAAGTATCACATCTCACTCACAATAAGTATGGTTGTTAATACACTTATTATTTAATTATTATATACAAAAGACAATATATAAATATGTATAACAATTGATCTAGACATATAGACATTTATTAGACTCACGTGTTAGGGTAGTGTCAATAAGATGTAGGAATTTTTTTGATCATGATATACAAAAGACATTCCTAGGTATTCGCAAGTCAAAAGGCATTGTTATTATAGATTTTGATGTTTTCTGATTTGACTAATTCTCTTCATTTTGTTAACTTTTAATCTTTCTAACTAGGTAACTTAAATAATTTATTGTGTTAATAATGGTTATTATTTGGTCAAAGTCTATTTAAACGGGTTAAATACAATAAAAACTTATGATTTTAAATATCAGGAGTTTTATTTAAAACAGAACAAAACATTTTTGTCAAATTCGCGCTTGTAAAAATGGGTAATTTTAAATAAAAGACAAAAAACTGTTTATTAATGAACTATAAACTACAGTCTAAAACACATTAAGCTAACTTTAACATTCATAAAATCTCAAAATCGTGCATTTATACAAATATAACATTAATTTATTAGTTATTGGTTCGAGTTACAAGTAATAATATATTTTTAGAATTGAATTGCAAAGGCACATTTTGTACAAAATCACTAATTAATTACGTATATAATCATTTATTTGTAAGCCTCTGAGTGCAGTACAGTTAGACAATAGGCACTTAGGTATTCACTTTTTAGAAAACTTCAAAGAAAGAAGGTTAATATTATGCATTAGCTACGAACGTCGCAAATTGTGACTGTGATTGTGGATTGATTGTGGATTTTTAACAAACCAAAATGTACTATCTACATATTTTGTCATTACTGAGGCCACCTGTCATACCACACCTGTAGCGACAATGAGAGTGTTCAGTAGAGACCAGATGACCTGTTGATTAATCATTTTTTCTGCGCATCATGATTGTGGTCGTTATTGATCTTGATGATGGCATCATTTAGTGTCGTCAGCTTGGCCTTGCAACCTTTGTCGCATTTGTTACACACCCAGTGGGTCTCGTGCTTCTGGTTACTAGGCCTGGATCTCTTCTTGAAGCGGTAGTCTCCAAGCATGATGATGGCGTTGCCGTGGCGAGACCAGCAATACCTTGGCACGATTCTGCCTGGATAGAAAAAGGTAAGATTAAAAATGTATAGTATTACATCTTCATGGGGGGTAATTAATTAAAATTTCCTTACAGGAGAGGTGGATAGAAATAATTTTTGTACCGTGTCTCTAACCACATTCTCACATAACTTACGTAAGTAGCTAATTAGTGTGAATCGTATATAGTTAGTAGTAATGTCACCTATTGAAACGAGTTACTGCGAAACATATCCTATCAACACTTTTAGTAATGATTGCACCTATTGTAGGATCCAGTTCTGTTCAAACATTTTTATAGTTTGTTTATTTACTTGTTTACAATTATTACCATTTACCTCTATAGAAATCTTTATTTTCAGTGAAAAACGAATGAAATCCTCATATACGACAAAAAGTTTAATTTTCAAAATTTGTATAATGTTCTATGAACTATACTTATTTTACTATAATGTAAATCACTTCATGCTTCTCTTACACCTAAGCGTTCTGAACTTCGACCCATTGGGATTTTTCGCTTTCCTTTTCCTTGTTCATTATCACCCACAAAAATTATATCCATTACATTTTTAGATTAAAGTTAATCGAATAATACACATATTAAATATTTTTCCTACGTTAAATCACAAACATCAATGACTTAGACTATGGGAATGCAGCGAAGTGAATTTTTATCTCGAAAGCGAATGTTACTTTGTCTACATTCACTGTATGTTACCAGTATATTAAAATAGCACGTCAGTAATGCTCCTTAAATACGACAAAATTACAATAAGGAATTATAAAAAAAATACATACATACATCCAATGCAAAACGTTCTAACGAATTATACATATTAAATAATTAAACATATAATAACCTATCCTATAAGTATGACTAGATAGATAATGTGATTAATTAATGATACACTTATAATTTTTTTAAATAGATTATTAGTAATTTGTCATTACACAAATTACTAATAGTCCCGTTAGCCCCTCGTACTAAGCTAAATATGCTTGTATCACGAGTGAGCTCACCACAATAGTCGAGGGCGGCGAGAACCGAACCCGCGTTCCCCGGATCACGAGTCGGCCAGTCCGACCCCATCACCGTTCGGCTATCGTGGGTAATTACTTGTCCAAAGAACTTCCTATCCCTGCATCTCCGGTTTGGCAATTAATACTTTGTTTTATTTTAAAAGTAAGTAGATACTTAATCCTAGTAATTGTTACTTAAATGCTACGCTATATCAATCAAATAAGTATTTTTGGTCAATAGACTAGATTAGTGAGTACGAATAAGACTAGAAAATATGGACGACACATTCATATCAAGTTAGAAACTGTAGCATCTTATAAAGAGAAGAATAAATTAATAAATGCGAATGTGTATAGTACGAATGCACAGACCATAACACATCAGACTTGAAATTTTCTTATAAATATGGCATCTATTACAAAAGGTGCCATATGGAAATGTGACGATTTAAGTGGAGCAGTCGTTTGTGAACTCACGAGATTTCTTCTCAGGCCAGAAGTTCGTGATAGGTCTGATACTGGGACCTGCAAGGTTCTCTATGGTCTCGATATTCTCTTTCTTAGTCACCAACTGTGGTCTCATGCCCATACTAAGACACTTGTTATATCTACAACGCTTACACCAAGATCTAGAGTACACAGTTATTTCGCAATTAAGTCTTGATTGTTTGCAGTTGTAATTGTCTTGCTTGTCCAGTTGCACGGTGCTTTTGAAGAACCACTTGCAAGATTCGCAAGTTAGTGCCCCGTAATGTATACCAGAGACGTCATCACCGCATACCAGACACGCNAGACACGCGACTTCTTCTTGTCGTAATCCCAGCAAACCCGTTAGAACTTCTGATGATGCTGAAAATTAATTATGTGTTAATAAACTGTGGTTTAGTAAAAAAACGATCTAGATTTACTCTAATCTAGAAAACAATACGTACTCTTTATTTATAACCGTTCATATTTATCATAAGGTACCGCTGTGGCGAAGCTGTAAATGCTTAAATAAATAAGAATGCGAATTATTCATGACGAATTTAATAACAAAATAACATAAATTGCACATTTATTTCTTAAACATCAAATGCAGTAAGAAATGAAATCCTTAAATAGAAGGTACATTCAGTATAATGTATATGAGTAGGTATTTATACCTATTATAAAAATTTATAAATTTTTAATACTTTGACTGGTCCACTGGACACTACATTAAATACGAGATATTATATGCACTACCCGACACTACATACATTCATTAGATACTGGATAATATTTAATATAACATTTAAGGTACTAGAAGTTAATTGGTTTATATTAATATATAAATGGGTATTTATACCTATTTGAAACATTTTTAAATATTTTTCTGACTTGTCCACTGGACGCTACATTAAATAAGAGATATAAATATGAACAACCAAATATTATTTTTATTAAATACTGGATAATATTAAATATGTATACGTCAATTCTTTTTAATATAACATTTAAAGTAACACAAGTTTATCGGTTTATATTAATATATAAGTAGGTATTCAAACCTATTGTAAACATTGATTATTATCTACTAGTTGTTTGACTTGTCCAGTCCACTGAACATTAAATATACATTAAATAAATGACATTATATGCACTGCCAGACATTAAATTCACTACACTAGGTACTGGATAATATATTATGTATACATTGAACATCAAGACTATTTTTAATATGTATAACATTCAAGGAATCTCAATGTCATCTAATATGAATAGTTTAAAACGTGTAACACATTCCAACCATTCTCTTTCGGATTCCAGAAACCTATCTTTAACTTTATTACATCGATCCCATTTTTCAGTGAAATAATTCTTAAATATCATCAAGTCTGATTTCAGTTGGTATTTTTTTGAATTTAGGCAGTTTGTTCGACGCGTTAGATACTTTTCCAGTTCGATAAACTTCATTGGTACCGATTTCATTTTACTGTTGAATAAAATCTGACACAGGTATTCATTTTTGAAGAAAATATATTCATCTGAAATAAAATAAGTCTTGTAATAATGTAAAAACACGATATTGTAATTGCGACATACACATGCGATTTTTAAATATAATCATATTACCGTGCACTCAAAATAAAAATGTAGCTACTACCAAAAATGAGATAATTAAAAAAAACAAAGGATTTATTTTGTATAATTCTGTAATTTAATACAATTATATTACATTTAAGTAAACATATCTACATTACATCTGTCTGGATACCCTTATACCATTAGCACTCACAAATTCTACTCCTAAAATATTTATTTATAACCTAAGTAATTATTTATTATTTTTCTACTCGTAATTAAATTCAGCTGCCTTGTAAAAGCGGTGCGCTTTAAATATGTTTGGACACCTTAAAAATGTAAATTTTTTCTTCGCGATCGCTTCGTTGTATAATCGAAAACGCTTACATTTTCTACAGATTCTGGTTTATCTATTTTTATGTTGAAAATACACACGAAAGCACACAATGACACAAAGACTTTGGTATTTTACACAGTTAATAAACCTTTCCTGGAAATTAGACTCAATTTTCACCAAAAAGTTTTATTGGCTTGGGCCGCAAATTGAAATTCATTCTTACAAGAACTCGTATAAATCTTATGAGTAAATAAAACATTATAATAATGTTGTATACCAGCTAATGCAACTACTAGATAATTTAGTTTGATATTATTTTTGTGTAATTTTAATAAGTACCAACTTTTTTCTTTTTTTTTTTCATTTACAACAGAACAATAAGTTCAGTAGCACTTTCTCAGTCTCATTTTTAGTTTGCATCATAATATTTCTAATTACTTTATGCATACCTAATTATCATATCAAACTTGACGGCTTTATTTAGTGCAAAAATAATAATTTACAAAGAAAGATTACAGAGAGATGAACAAGACAATAACATTCATTTATTTACTATTATCAAACATTAAACTAATTGAATTACTTATTAATAACTATCAAATTATAAATATTTACCAACATGATCTAAATAATATTATTATTGCGACCTGCGCAATCATGTGCAATCGTTAAAATATTTTAGGATAAAATATTATAAGTACCTACTACCACACGAATCAATATCAATTCTTTTGATGTCAATTATGAATTAAAATTGTTGCATAAAAACGTGCAATTCTTTAAAACGTACAGGCTAGCAGTATATATATAATATATATGCTTATATATTATATAAGCATTTGGACAATATATTGTTGTCAACACATAAAGGCATCTCTTTTCTTCACCATTTCAGTCCTCATGCCGACTCCAAGGCATTTTTGGAACCTGCAATACCTACACCTGGATCTGTAGTAGACGTTCATCTTGCATTGCCCGTAGTTTCTGCAAATATACACGCCTTCCTTGTCCTGCTGAATGGTGCGTTTGAAGAACAGCTTGCAAGACTCGCACGTTCGAATCCCGTAGTGGAGACCCGAGACGGTGTCACCGCATATCGGGCAATATCCTGAAAAATTACTAAATAGTAGGTTCTATGGTTACAAAACCTACCTGCCAAATGTTGCGGTCACCGCACTATTTACAATTTACAAACGAAACCTTTCTTACACCAGGATTTTTCATTTTCTTTCTTCTAACATAAGAATAGTAATCACAAAAGTAAAACATCACATCCAAAGAAATGTCGTTGCAGAAAACAACCCTGGGAGTGATAGACCAATAGACCTTTGACAGTAAGCCTACTGAATAGGTTTTGAAAAGGCATTTGCCCACCAGAATAAGGATCACTAATTATCTAGATCAGTGGTTCCCAAACTTATTTAGTCTACTGCCCACTTTGAGAATAAATTATTTTTAGCGCACCCCAGTTTTGTAGTCAAGAGTCGAGCACAGTCGATGTCTAAGAGTCCTCCTAGTAGATGACGCCTCCCAAGCCTCTTCACAACGTCCCGATTTTTTTTCTGGGTCTCTTACCGCCCCCCTTTAAGCCTGCAGCGCCCACAAGGGGGCGTTATCGCCCACTTTGGGAAAGACTGATCTAGATATACCAACATTTCGAAGCATAATTATGATCAATATCCCTTATCGACCGTGCCACCCCGGGTCCCCGGCCCCCCGCTATATACGCGCATGATTTGTAAATAAGTAAAACACGAAAAGAATACATATGAGTCGTATTATTATTGTTATCAACAATCATCTAGATCTATACAATTCTGACACACTGGGATAACGTGCTGCATACAAATGGGCTTATTGCATTTATTACAATAATGCCTGGTTTTCTTATCCTTGGAATTAGGACAGTCTTTGCATCTCTTTCGGAGCGTTTTAGAAGTAGTCGGGTAGCTCATAGTTTCCCCAATCTGCTCGTGGATACGTTTACGTAAGTTTGTTGGCAACTTCATGTCTTTCCTCATATGAAGGTACCCCTCAAGCATTGTCAGACCGAGTTTTCTTATAAAATCACGTCTATTTGAAGTGAACTTGTTATTTTCACGAAATATAATTTCACTGTTTACTGCAGCTATGTTCATAACTGCATAGAATACTGTCATTGGCCACCGTTTTGAGGCTCGGGAAACATCGTAGGCTGCACATATTTGATCAACAGTATCGACACAATTTTTCGTAGAATCATAAAATGTGACGATTTCTGGTTTCTGCTTATCGCCGCTAGCCGGATCAATGCTTGGCTTGTGATGAAGGGAAGACAGCACCAGAATTACTTTAGATTTCTTAGGTACATATGAAACTAGGGTCATATCATTTTGGAATGCGAACTGGGAACTATATACTTCTTTTCTACGAGCAGTCACAAAGCTAGTCGGGATTTCTCGTTTATCCTTACGTAATGAACCGGTAGCTGTCAGTTTATGATTCTGTTGAAGATGTGTCATCAGGGGTATGCTCGTGAACCAGTTATCGAAAGTCACGTTTCTATAACTATTAGAGATAGGTTGAACTAATCTGTCCACAATATCAAAAGCTTCATTGCTGCAGGAATATGGACCATTGGGCTGTTTCCCTGAATCTATTTCAAGATTAACGGTATAAAATGTCTTAGTCCACCAAAGCGTACATTTTGATGCCATATTTGGCGGGTTTTTTCGGAATATGTTGACGGAAAGGACATCTGCCTCGGAATGCTTCCAATTTCTCGTCAATGGTGAGGTATTTACTGGGAGCATAAGCATTATCACAGTTGGTAACAAATTCTTCAAAAATAGATCTTATTGGAGCAAGATTATCAACTGTTTTTCTTTTTCGACGTGTTTCCGCATCATCAAAACGTAAACGGCTATGCAGAAAATGAAAGCGTTGCACTGACATAGTATTTCTAAAAATTTCTACACCAGTGCCGTCGGTTCGCCACAAGTCATTCAAATTTTGGCGGTTTGAACGGTTAAGTCCTGCCAAATACATCAAGCCAAACAACGCTAATAGCTCATCTATTGTCGTTTCTTTCATGAAAGAGTCGCACGATTTTTTACTGACAGCTAATTGTCTCTGCTTTATCAAAGCGTTGGTATGACAAAGTATTTGTTCCAACATATTATCGGATATAAAATGTTTCCAACACTCCATTTCTGTCTTGGCATTTCTTGCTACTGGTTTCACGCCAGGTTTTAGGGATATATTTTCTGATTTTGCAGTACTTCGAGATGGTTGTGAAGACCATATAGTTACACCATCTTTTCCGGTATAAAACGGCTGGTTACTGGTTGGTATCGCTTCTTGCTCCTCATTATCGCTCAATTCCTGCTCTGTATCGCTTTCTAGACTACGCTGCGAGATATGGTCTACTTTTTCCTCTTCGTCTGAACTGAGCTGTTCATCTTCATTGGTAAAAGACTGTTCAAATAGAATTACAAGTTGTTTATTTTCGTAGCACATCTTTGGTGAGTCTGTGGAAAAAGATTTGCCTTAAAATGGAGAAAGTAAAAATGAATAGAGAAAACAAAACTACTACATGATTATCGTTGCCTGGTATAATTTACCCAGTATAGATTCTTAGTGTGCAGTAGCGCTTTGTTGCAAGTTTTTGAAGATCTTTGATCATTCGACTCAAGAGTAACATGCTGTAGTGTAATTTGTGTAAGTCAAAGCATTTATGTCATTTTGGTCCAAAAATACTTAGCTTGTGCCTCTACTAAATACTATTCATAATCAATAGATAACGATTGTTTGTTTGTTAGTTATTTTATGAACAGCACAAAGAATTTTAAAAAAATGTTTTGTGTGTTTTATCTAAAATCAAATAATTTAGAAGTCGTATAAGTTAGTAGCACCCTTTTTTCGAGTCAGGAATATTTTTAAAAAAACTCCGCTTTCAGTCGCCCACTTTTTCTTAGCGGCGCCATGAAATGAAATGAAACAAACAAACTCCTGCAACTGTTCTTTTTATTGTAAATACGTAAGCTATCAAATAATGTATTTAATTAAAACTGAGATTCACAGCATTACATAACTCTTAAGCATTTTACATCTTACTACTCTCTAGTAAAGGTCACTGACTATTTGTAATTAATTTTATAGAACCAGATAATTCACTTAGGCTGAGTTGCACCACCTAACTTTGACCGTAGTGTATTTTGTATGGAGTTTGACAGATTTTTGACGTTTGTCAAAGTTAAACTAAGATGGTGCAACCCACCCTTAAAATACAAATTCTACATTTACAAATCACTAGGAAAAAAGAAGACAAGCCAGGTAGAGACTAGAAATAAAACTTGCAGAAGTTGAAATCCGCAAGATGTCACCCACCACTATGTCAATCTTGCAGAAGTTGGCTGGCCACAGCTATTTACAAACGCTTGCGGAAGTAAACTTCTGCAAGTTTTATTGCTAGTCTGTATCTAGCCTGTTTTCACCATCAATTTCTAATTATTAAGTGACCCCTATGGTAACAAATAACAGGAATTTTGTTTACCTAGGGGTTACTTAAAAATGAGGGATTGATGGTGAAAACGGGCATTAACCTCGCATCAGGTAGGTAGACCTTATACACATAAATAATTCGGTTGGTTTATGGGATTTTCAAATTAAGCGGCAAATATGTTGATTTTTAATTGACGTTGCGTTATTTTTTTTTAATGGAGTTCCATGTAGATACTTTTCAGGATCAAGATTATTTATATATTAATTCATAATGGTATGTATCTATCATATCTGTATAATATAAATAATCCTGATGATCCTTGTCTCATTTTACTAAACCGTCACAAAAACTTACTAATGTACCATTCATAATACAAATAATACTCTTTGAGATCTCGTCTTTTGTCAAAATACACTGAAAATATTTAAAATTAAACATTTAATAGTACCTATCCTAAGTAGGCACAATACATCCTACACAAATGAGCAAAACACATAAAAAATGATATGATAATTTCTGCAGTCTTAAATTATTATAATCACAACCAAAAATCACGTAAGTACATTAATTTGCGTATTTTTACATAAATTAATGAAAATACACATTTCAAAACGACGCGCGCCATATTTATCAGCCTATGGCTAAGTACCTAGTAACAAAAAATACACAAAACATTTTCCTGTTACAAATATTTTTTAATGTACAACTTAAAAGGGGCTTATCAAAATAATGCCTACGTAACTCTAAACTACTATATTACTTTCATCACAGTACATAATAGAAAACGTATAAATGCAATTAAAAAATTACAATGTTAACGAATAGAATTCGTCAATTAAACTAATTAATTAATTATGTAAATCACTAACTTGAGTAAATAAAATATTATGTAAAATCACAACATAAATATCCACATATTGACGACCGATCCTGGGAGCACAACGCCCAAAAAACGTATTAAAGAAGAACTGCACTGAACCGTCCCACCCGTGACATTGACAGAGAGGCGCCACCGTCAATACTGGATCGCTGGTTCCGATTTTTGCCACGTTGGAATATACTGAAATGTCATTTGCAGGAGGGCGCTGCCATCAATGCCGGGTTACTATTTCTGATCTTTGCTATTATACGTTTCAAAATCGTTCAACTAAAACTAAATTAACCGAACAGATATTCTTCGCAAGTTTTCTCCAAAATTTCTTCTGATAACGACAAATTGTAGGACACAGGTTTTATTCCTTTATTGATCTGTAACGATGACGCGTCATGGTTGTGGAATCCTTTGACCTCAATAATATGCCTTCCTGATGTCTTCACTACGGCCTTACAACACTTGTAGGAATGGGTGGAGCAAGTCCATCTGACGATACCGTTTCTGATGGAGTGTCTGCAGTAAGTGTATTTCTTGTATACAATGAGCGGCTTGCCTCGGAGGGACTGGATGAAGAAAGCCTCTGCACCTATGGAAGATGTGTATATTAGGTAAGTTTAGAGACGGAATCTAGAATTGCTAAGGCCTAATTGTTTAAACTTAAGAGTTCTTCATCATCATCATCATCATTTCAGCCATAGGACGTCCACTGCTGAACATAGGCCTCCCCCAATGATTTCCATGTTGATAGATTGGTAGCGGCCTGCGTCCAGCGCTTTCCTGTTATCTTTATGATGTCCTCGGTCCACCTTGTCACAAACCTTGTTAAGACTTCTTATGACGCTATCAATATGGCAATTTAGGTAGGTAGCATTAGTGGTTTTTAATTAAAGTGATTACTTTTGAATTAGCTATAGCAATTCTTATTGTACAATGACAAACTAAATGCTTATTTAATTAATGCTGAGTAGAACAATTAGGAAGTTGCTAGTGCAATAAGCATAATGTGAATAAAATAATATAATATAGGCATTTTATTATTATTTAAAGTTCGGAATAAAATAATATTCACATTTGAAATATACCTACCTATAAATTGCTTTTTACCTGTTTTCAGATCAATCGTCGATTTTTGTGAAATAAGTTAATGTTAAATTAACAGAATGGTGTATAGCATAGATCCGACTACTCAATGCAAGTCAATATGGGATTATGGGAATACCTATTTCGCTTATCCTTGAGTTAGTTGTTGATTGACTGCACCCACATCATTCTATTCACAGTATGTAGAGTAGTTACTGGTTAGTTGGACAGTAGGCATTTGACAGAGTTAAATAATATTGGAAATCAAGTTTATAAGTATTCACATACCTATAGGTGAGGAGAATAGGCATTACGACTTATCAACCGCCTCTGTGGTCTAGTGGTTGGACCACCTGCTTCAGACGCAGAGGTCCCGGGTTCGATTCCCAGTGGAGGCAGAATTTTCTGTTTGGTTTGGTTGGTGGTAGGGCTTGTTCCAAGTCCGCCTGGCTAGCTACCACCATCTTACCTAAGTATGTCGCCATAACAACAATGTTAACAGCATTGTTGTGTTCCGGCAGTTAGAGGTAAGATAGCTAGTTCCTCTGTGGTTGAGGATTCCGGGTGAAGCTCGCTTCCACCTTCGGCCTGATCATTACTTACCATCAGGAGAGATAAATAGGACAAGAGCTTCCTCGTTGTGGATAAAAAAAATTACGACTTTCTGATTTGCACATCAATTGTTTGTTAAAACATATAGGAAATGGTTAGGACAATCGCCAGGCAAGCGAAAGCTCGTGGGTTCGAAATGATTCATAGTAGCTTAACCATGAAGAGATACAGAAAAATACGAAGGCAGGTGATAGGTGAGGACTAGACTGCTAGACGTTCTAGAAATCTGAAAAAATACTGCTTTTTATGAACAAGGAAAACTATAACGGTTAAGATACATCAGTTAGTTTAAGAGTAGTCATTTGACTCATGTATTATAAAATTTCTCAACTAGTAAAAATTCCTTAGAAGAAATATTAAAAGTGACTTTAGATGAAGTAATTGCTTGCTTCGTTTAGTTAACGTTTGTTTTAACGACAACTACGGAACCCTACACTGCGCGTGACACGACACGCACTTGGCAAATGTTTGTTTAAATATTAAAGTTATAAAGTTTGTGAGAAAGTGAGGATGTTTGTTTCTGTATCACGCAAAAACTAATGAACGAATTTTGTTGTTATTGAATAATATTAAATTAAAGACATAATTTCATAATCATAAGTACAGTAGGACGCCGATTATCCGAACGCCGATTAACCGAATCGCCAATTATCCGAATCGGTCCTCAGCGTAATATAAAAAATTAAAACCAAGTAATTTTTATTTTGTATTGGTGTAACAAGTTGGAACTCGCAGGAGTCTACATATATTTCAACTGAGCGTTATTAAAGAACCGTAAACACAGTTATTAAAGTTTATTCTATGTGTGACAGTTCGTTTTTAACATGCTTTTTCTTTATTACCAGTCTATGTCCGATTATCCGAATTTTCGATTATCCGAATCGACCCCAGTCCCAATTAATTCGGATAATCGGCGTTCTACTGTATATTGTTTACTTTAGAGAGCAACGGAACACAAGTGCGTTTAATACTGAAAAATACTCGTTTATCTTTGTACTAAATCTAATTAAGTATAAGGCAAGAATTCTCAAAACTAGAGATCAATATAAAANCAATAAATCTATATCACAAAAATAGCACCTGCGATACAACATTTTATTTATTAATACAATATTACTATCTAATTAATAAATAGGCGTAGAGTTTCATGCGCGTGAGTTCATAATTAAATTATACAAAAGATAGGTAGATGTTGAAAAAAAAATTGTTTAGAGAGATTCTAGAAGAATATTAAGTAGCACTTTTCAAAAAAGATGTTCTCTAAAATTTCAATTAAATTTTGTAAGAAGCCATTAATCTATTTAATGATATAAATAGGTAGCCCTTACGGCAAATTGAAAAGATTTCGGAAATTCGCACCAAATGTAACTTCATTACTCGTCTCTGAGACTTAAAAGGTGAACACAAAATATTAAATAAATAAGGCATTTTCACGGAGAAAAGGGCCGTTAATTATAATCATTAATAATAATATTTTTATCCAACAATAACACCAATTAACCGCTCCAACCTTAACGGAACTGGTAGTACGGCGACTAGATAAATATAATATACAGGGTGTTTGGCGGAAGGTTAGACCAACTTCCTGGTCCCTGGTCCCTCTCACGAAGTTTGTTTAACCATCAGCCAAACACCCTGTATGTTTTCGTGCTTAATTAGTGCCTTTTTCCTGTCATACGGATTTCATGCCGTGCCGGTTCCTACTTCTTAGTAAATAATGAAATGTAGGGGCCAAGGGGGGGTACGGGCAGGACCCGAAATCTGCATCACAGAAAAAAGGCACTTACACTAATTTAAAAAATTCGTAAATATAGAAAATATACAGATATTTTAACCACATGCTAAAACCTATACTTCTAAAAATTAAATCATTTTATGAAAATTAGGATAGATTGAATTAGGTATAATAGGGAAAAAATTGTGTAAGAGACAAACGAATAAAATATCTTAAATAGGAAAGTATGCGAGGTATTTTGCAAAGCCTTTATCAGATATTAATAATATGGCAAGAAAATCTAAGGAACATGGTAGGAAACAGATCTCTCACTACAAGTTAATATCCGTCAGACTACGGCTATGCTGCATCCTCAATTTGACAGCCGTCATGCTTATAACTGTCAAATACTCTAATAATAAATAAAGTCACGTGGCTCTCACATCACACTGCATGCAAGATACTACTAGTGGCAGCCTAATTTATAAGGCCCATTTACATGGAAAAGTTCAGTCATCAGCCTGTTACATCTTTCAACGGTAGTCGATCGTCGATTCGTCATTTTCTCGGTCGATTCAAGGACAACTATTTAGCAGTATGACTAAATCAATTAGAGATTAACGGCTAGTCAGTTAATTAACGGTTCACTTAAGTCGCCAGCAATAACGGTAATTAGTAACAATGCTATAAACCTTTAAACTGAGTTAAATCAACTAAACTTTAACCGTAACTATAGGTTTAACGGGTGTTTTTTGTATCTAGTTTTACAGACTCTTGACGTTTGTTACAGTTTAAGTAAGATGGTGCAACCCAGGGTTAATAAACTCGAGAATAGGTCATTTGTAAAGCCTTATAAAAATATCGCTTGACCAAAAAATTACCGCTAACTTAGAATGAGAAAGTGTAGGGGCTATACACCTATGCAGGTTAAATACACCTATATCGTACGGCTATCCTGATTAATGCCGATCCGTTTTAATGTTAGCACCCCCTTAGGGCTCGTTCCCACGGCTATCCAGTTCTGCGGGATCCAGTATTGCAGAAATTAACAAAACTGGACTGTCGTGTGAACACGTGTCTGTTTGATATTTCAATTACAGATCGGTTTTTTGCAAACGAGATGTACGTCAGACGGCACGTCAAGGTAACCACTGCGGGTTCTTGTGCAGTTGTAATAGGGGCGAAATTGCAACAAAAATGGGTAACCTGATATGCTGTCGTGTGTACACTAGCGAATAATATTAATATTTAAAACACAGGATATTAGTACTAAAAGGGGTCCTGCAAAAGACTGGATCGCCGTGGAAACAAGCCCTACACCTACACAAAAAGCAAACGTCATACAAAGAACTCGGTAGGCGGATGATTATGCAAGTTCTTGGCGTATATAAGATCATTATTCTCCGTATAAACCTTGGCTGGGCAGTTGTCTCCGTGGGTGTAGCACGACCAGTAGGACTTGTTCTCCACCACATGCTCCCTGGTGAACGTGAAGTCGCCAAGTTTTAAAAGCCTCTCACCGTCACGGGAGACCATGAACTTCACTGAAAAAAAAATTNACCCGAAATCTGCATCACAGAAAAAAGGCACTTACACTAATTTTAAAAATTCGTAAACGGCACAATATAGAAAATATACAGATATTTTAACCACATGCTAAAACCTAAACTTCTAAAAATTAAATCATTTTATGAAAATTAGGATAGATTGAATTAGGTATAATAGGGAAAAAATTGTGTAAGAGACAAACGACTAAAATATCTAAAATAGGAAAGTATGCGAGGTATTTTGCAAAGCCTTTATCAGATAATAATAATATGGCAAGAAAATCAAAGGAACATGGTAGGAAACAGACCTCTCACTACACGTTAATATCCGTTAGACTACGGCTATGCTGCGTCCTCAATTTGACAGCCATCATGCTTAAAACTGTCAAATACTAATAATAAAGTCATGTGGTGGCTCTCACATCACAACACATCAATCAAACTGCATGCAAGATCCTAATAGTGTGCGGGCAGCCTAATTTATAAGGCCCATTTACATGGAAAAGTTCAGTCATCAGCCTGATACATCTGTCAACGGTAGTCGATCGTCGATTCGTCATTTTCTCGGTCGATTCAATGACAACTATTTAGAATAGTGTCGAAATTATCGGTTTGTCTAAATCAATTAGAGATTAATGGCTAGTCAGTTAATTAACGGTTCACTTAAGTCGCAAGCAATAACGGTAATTAGTAACAATGCTATAAACCTTTAAACTGAGTTAAATCAACTAAACTTTAACCGTAACTATAGGTTTAACGGGTGTTTTTTGTATCTCGTTTTACAGACTCTTGACGTTTGTTACAGTTAAAGTAAGATGGTGCAACCCAAGGTTAACAAACTCGAGAAAAGGTCATTTGTAAATCGCGTAAAGCCTTATTATATCGCTTGACCAAAAAATTACCGCTAACTTAGAATGAAAAAGTGTAGGGGCGTTATGCACTTATGCTATAAACACATCTATGTATATGTGCGTATGGCTATCCTGAATAATGCCGATTCGATTTAATGCATAACACCCCCTTAGGGCTCGTTCACACGGCAATCCAGTTCTGCGGGATCGAGTATTGCAGGAATTAACAAATCTGGACTGTCGTATGAACACGTGTCTGTTTGATATTTCAATTACAGATCGGTTTTTTGCAAACAAGATGTACATCTCGTTTGCAAAAAACCGACCAATTCTTCAGACGGCACGTCAAGGTAACCACTACGGGTTCTTGTGCAGTTGTAATAGGGGCGAAATTACAACAAAAATGGGTAACCTGATATGCTGTCGTGTGTACACTAGCGAATAATATTAATATTTAAAACACAGGATATTAGTACTAAAAGGGATCCTGCAAAAAACTGGATCGCCGTGGAAACAAGCCCTACACCTACACAAAAAGCAAACGTCATACAAAGAACTCGGTAGGCGGATGGTTATGCAAGTTCTTGGCGTATATGAGATCATTATTCTCCGTATAAACCTTGGCTGGGCAGTTGTCTCCGTGGGTGTAGCACGACCAGTAGGACTTGTTCTCCACCACATGCTCCCTGGTGAACGTGAAGTCGCCAAGTTTTAAAAGTCTCTCACCATCACGGGACACCATGAACTTTACTGAAAATAAAAATGTATGAATACTTCTTACAATGGACGAATTAAGAAGAATGAAATGAAGAAAAGAAGGTACCATAATGGCGTCACGTAGGCTAACTTAGCTAAAGAACTAGGTCAAGAAGATAGGTACAATTTTGTGCAGTTAGCATGTACAGTATACACACCTACACCAAATCGATTCATGAAGTGTTTTGTAAATAAGAATAGGTAAGCAAAAGATTGGATGGATATACTTACTCAAGATTCTCATTTTATGTGTTAAATGAACCATGAAAGTGATATTAAATAAGTTTTTGTTAATTACAAGCAATGGTTTATCAAAAGCTGATCTTCCTAGATAGATAGGTACACTTTATGGTACACCACACAAAACAAGAAAAGAAAGAAATTCACAAAAATTACATAATTTAATTATTATTAATTAGGTATAACATCTTACTATGTTTATAATTAAATCCTCATCACCCAAAACAAAATACATAAGCTATATGATTAATTGGTTTAAGTACATTTAGGAACAGTCTTATTGCTGATTAGCTGCAGTTGAAGTTCTATGCACCAGAATTTAGTCTAAAAATACAGGAAAATTCATAATTTAATCATACACTCATTTGTGTTATTATGATGCTTCTATTTTGTAATACAGATATTTAAAAAATCTGATAAAAATAAAACAACTTTTTTGTGTAATATTTTTATACATTCATTTAAAAATTAAAAACTTGTACAATTTAAATCACTGGCAAAAACTAAGTTTAAGTGTAAGGATCATTTAAAACCAAAATTAAAGTAGTTTTAAATTAACAACTTCATATCCAGAAAACTTATTGTAAAGTACTATTTCATGTAGGTACCTAAGTATTAAATTTATCAGTAAAGTAAATTAACAATAATAAAGAGTTAACCAGTAAATTGAGAAGTATTGAGTGTTTTGAACATGTTTAACATGTATAAATATTTTTAAAAGTAAAAACTTATGGTGGTATGTTTATCAACTATTTTTAGATTTACAAGTCTGACAACAACCTAAATACATTTTGATGACTTCTTTAGACACATTACAATATTTAGTTTTTATTTCAGATTCCATAACGTCTAAGTTTGCATGCTTAAACAACAAATGTATGGTATGAAGTACACCAAACAATTCATATGTGGCTACGTAGAATTTTACACCGGACCCATTCTCATCGTCCGGTTTTATTAACTTTTCCTTGCCGTTAATTTCTAAAATGTCGTAATTTGCCAACATTTTATAATCATCGAAGTCTTTATGACATTTTCTTTTTATTTCTTTGATTTCACGAATGAAATCTTGATATCGGACTTCATTAATGTAATATGCGCTGTTACTTTTCTTACGGGTCAGCAGTTTGTCCAGTTTGTTATTGAATTCTTCTTTAAGAGGAGCAACAACACTTTTAGAGAATAACTTGATGCCTGTAATAAATTAAAACATTACCAGAGTATTTTATTTTAAACTTGTTTAGATATCATTTTAACGCTACAGATTATAAATAAAACCAACACACAGGTTTAAAATATGTTTATTTATAAAATAATTGAATTATTTTGTTAGAAGACCACCTTCTCAAATTTAATAATACCTACAGTGTTTCTTTTTATCTTCAGTCATTTTAAATTTTTGAGTCGAATTCTACATTCTTAAAGGTACTTAATAAGAATGAAACAAAGTTATAACTTTTTACCTTTTTAATAAAAAGAACAGCTGATTTTGACTTTTAAACAAAGTGTTAAATACCGAAAAAAAACATTCACTTTAATGAGCATGTCAACCTTATTGTTTAGCATAAATCTAAAGACTTGACACAGTCATACACAGTTTTTTATGAGGCACATAATCACTAAACATTGGAGGATATACCCTAACTTGCAATTTGTTGACAGGTAGCTACAATTTTGCTACTTTCATGGCTAGTAAAACATATTAAAATATCTTAGATACTAGAACTCACCCACAGCACCATTTTCATAAAAGTTTTTGTTGAATTTCTACGAATATTGCACTATCACACACTACAAAAACAACAGAAAGTAACTAAACTGCACTTTAGAGGTTATGTTGGAAAACATTTAATATTATTTTAAGGTCTCATTAGGTACGAAATTCACCACACACAATCACTTATCAAAATCCACGTTTCGTGATTAAATATTACACACATTTTTGTAGAGAAAAAGAAAATTTTGATATCTCGGAAACATACGTATCGATACGTCACTGTCATTGTCAAACAGGTAGGTCTGTCAATTTGCGTTTTGTTACTGCAACCTTGTTTTATCTTTGCACTGCGTTTAATTTGATTAACTTTTATAGTTAGTTTACTCACATTAAAAATAAAAATGTTTTTAATGTAACTCATTAACATATTAGTCGCCAACCCATATCAAAAGCAGTGTGTCTTAGGCGCCAAGCTATTGCGTTATGTAAAGAAATCAACATTTTTATGTGTTTATCTAAGTAATGAAAATTGTTTCAAAGACTAAACATAAACAAATTGTTTATTTCTTCCCTTTCTCTCTTTCGTATTCTTTCTTTGCGTTTGCGGTCGCGCCATCTTTTTCTCCTTTCTTCCAGCTCTTCTTTGGTCAAATCTCTCCTTCTTAATTTTTCAGGATTATCTCGTTTCATTTTTTCTCTATACCGCCGAGTTCTTTCTGCACCAGTAAGTCGCCCTAAATTAACTTCGAAACCTAAAAATATAAAAGATCTTAAACCATAAACCTTAGACCTTGAAGCTCTTTTGTAATGGTAGTCAACTTAACCGGTCGGATACCTACGTTCTTTTGAAATCAAACTGTTATTAGGTATTATTTATTACAAGTAAAAAACATAAGGTGACTCAGGCAGGAGGAGTGTTGTATACTGTTTTTAGTACCAAATAAATATTTTTTCTTTCTTTCTTTTCTTTCTTAATGTACAAAATGGAACTTCAGTGGAGGATACGCCAAAAATTAAATCTGTTTATTTGTAAAGGTCATTTTAAACATTGGGAAAGTAATTGTTTTTACCTTACTTTGTGTCTGGTAAGTATGTCTGAATCTATCCAAGGATTAAGGAATGAGCAAGATTAAAATAAAAACTAAGTAGTTTTAAAGGAACGATATTTATTTATGTTTTTGCTTCCATACCTACAATAGGTACATAATTTTTTTGGGGTCACAGGAAATTGAGCTCGTAGCAAATATGGATTACTTACTAATCTCACTTAAGTTATTGTAACAATGATAATATCTAACAACACTGAAGGTAACTTTTGGTAGACAGTCGCGCAAGAAAAATTATTTGGAATGAAAAACTTTAAAACAATTCCTATGTGGCGTAATACACAGGTATATTTTGCAGCACACGCACCGTACCATGGTCTTCTTGTCGCAACCTGCAAGCCTACACCGATGCTGTCTAGAATCTATTTCAGGAAGATGATCATTGTGACGGTATCTCTTCGAATCAGGTGGAATTGGTGTGACTTTGACTTTTCCTTTTGCTGTTTCGTTATGCCGGACGTTGGCTCTCAGGTAAATGGTTTGTAGGACTTTGCTTGGGTTGGGATCTGTTAAATAATCAAAATAATAACATTAAATATAAGCATTAATGTTATTATTATTAATTAGAAGTTGTTTTTAGTTGTTACCATACAGTGGAGACTGCGCCTTGGTGAGCATCAATAGGTTAAAAAAATCTATAATACATTAAAATATTTATTTTACAGAAGGTAACTTGTGATAACTATTTAATATTTACAATTCATTAATAGGTACTATGTATAAAAATATTAATTATGTAGGTATCATGATATTATTACATTCGTACAAAAAGCTATTTTAGGTGCTTATCACAAATTGACTGAATTTGCTTACCAAATTCTGATTTAATTATATTTACAGTAATATTCATTCTATTCAATTGACTATTTCTAGCTGACTTTAGGTACATAAAGGGCCCATCCTTAAGCTTAAGACTAGATCCTGAGGGATTTGTTGGTGGCCGAAAAATTTACATCTGTATCCCCGAAAAAAATGGGTAGGTTATACTGAGTTGCCACCACCAACTAATTTTAAAAGAAATGAAAAATATCATTTAAAAAGGAAAGTACAGTTTTCAAGGCTAAAATGAAGTGTTTTAAAAGAAAATATGAGAATTAATTAGTTAAAGGTGTCAAAAATCCAACACTAAAAATTATAGCTCATAATGACAAGAAAAAAGAGGACCACCAAGAAATATATTAAGTATTTAAACATGGGGATTCAGAACCATTCGATAACTTATAGATCGAGATGATGTGTGTAGACTGTAAACTAATTGTTGTAATTTATCTGAAGTTTCTGAATCCCCTGCTAGTGCGTTGTCTTTTAGCAGCAAAGGACCCCCTCTTCTCCCGTCAAAATAATTTCTACACAGTTTTGGGGATTATTTTCTATCTTTTAAAGGTACAGTCTCATTTGGAAAAAATGTTTAGTGTTGTTGATTGTAATGTTATTTACTTTTATGGTTTCTCCCGACCAAAATCCCACAATGCTGAAAAAGTACTTTTTCCTGCGATAATAGGGTCCTAATCTGGCAACACTACTTGTACTCACTTCTTTTAACCATTGGACAAGATTCTAGGCCACGAGTGATACAATAAGGCTGAGTTGCACCACCTAATTTTAACCGTGCCTATAACTGGTGTTTTTTGTATGAAGCTTGATAGACTTTTGACGTTTGTTAAAGTAAGATAGTGCAACCCAGCCTGAGCCTTTCGACGATTTCTGGGACTTAAAAAAGGATTATTGCCTTTAACTCAAAAATCTCATCTCCTATTCCATATCCGAAAAGTACCACTAACTAGACAAGTCATGTTCTTCACCAAAGCAGTCCTTGCAGAAATGTGGCTGGTTCGGACACTGGTTGCAGTATGTAGACACTTGCTTCGTCTTGTTCTTCGCGTATATTCGGCCTCCGCGCATTCTTCTTGTAGCACCTCTGACAATATAATAGTNCGAAAGTACCACTAACTAGACAAGTCATGTTCTTCACAAAAGCAGTCCTTGCAGAAATGTGGCTGGTTCGGACACTGGTTGCAGTATGTGGACACTTGTTTCGTCTTGTTCTTCGCGTATATTCGGCCGTGCCTCCGTGCATTCTTCTTGTAGCACCTCTGGCAGTATTTCCTTGTAGATCTCGCCAGACCTGACTTTCTACAGAGCACGTGGCAGGTACTAAACGTGCTGTGGTCGAGTGGGAAGAAAATGCTGGGGTCTATTAAGTCTGTTTCTCTTTTGACTTTGTTCTTTCCTTTTTTCAGGTTGCAAAGTAAATCTGAAATCAAGGATTTTAGTAGTATTATAAATTACTAAATTGTTGTTATTTAGAACATTGGAAAATAAGTATAATAGGTACTTCAAAGTTTTAAAATAACATCAATACTTAAAGGCACTTTAAACAAAACACTGGTAGTGTTAAAACTGGCGTAAAAAGTACGTTTAAATGCAAGGTTGCCTGTGAGACACATTAAGTAACGATTCCTAAACAATTGCGAAAATCTTGCAATAAAAATAGGCTTACAAAATTTGCTTAACTTTTAAACGACAATTATTTACATGATTAGAGTAAATAACTAACATGAACGGGATTTCTAGTTGAAATGAAACGAAAATGTAGATTAAAATATCTATAATTTGATAGGAAATTGTACATAAATGACTTTACAGGAAGTTATTATAATAGGTACGTACATCTTTTATAATTAATAAATACTTACGAATATACTATAAACAGTATTTTTTATCATTACTAGAATTCTCGTAGATAGTTATAATAATTATGTATAATTATTATTATTCTGCTTTATTGTGGGAAGACAACTTGGTGTTTATTAGTACATTGTTTACTGAATAATTCATTTTTCTTGTTTATAAAATAAACACTATTTGATAGGTAATAATAATATGATTAAAACAACCGCCTGGAACAGTTCAGTCAAATAAAAGATGTAATTAAAGTACTACCGTTACCTATATCATTCAGGTAGGTAGATTTTTTTAATTTAATAAATAGGTAATATACAGATTCTTGACGCTAAAAGCATATAATGAGATCTCTAAATAGGATTAATGGAGTTAAATATGTACAGTCGCGGAATGAAAAGGTTCGTCACCTTAGTGTCGGTTTTCGCTTGCACTAGGTACTGTAAGAGTCAAACCTGCCAACATAACCGTGCAAGAAACAGTGCTGCTAACATTTAAATAAATATGACGTTTGCTAACGAATAAGGTTTTGCTTGTTTATTTTTCTATCCCATCAGTGCAATGTTACAAAATGTAGTTTTTTTTATTTAATAGATAATGGTAGGTTGAACCAAAAAGAAGGTTTTAGTTTATCAATCATAATAATCTTCTTGACAAGTTAAATCGTCAAACAACTTTGATCTGAATAATTTTGAACTTTACTGGCGAACAGTTAAAGATTATTTTCTCTAACTCGAGATTATTCTGTAAAATAGTTTCAAAAGGTAATATATGTGCTCGCGATTCGTTGAAGGAATCAATTTGAAAACTGACGAACCTTTTCATTCCGTGACTGTACAAAAAATATCTATACAATCATCCCGAGTCTACTATCGATACTAATGATAGTAACACTGATTATGTTGATGATGGTTTATGAAAAATAATATCGACAAAACGTAATCGATCTAATATTAATAGAAAACCGTTACCAACACTACAAGCAAAAAAATCGAATACAAGTGATACAAGTGACTAGAGGAAAACTAATATTATATCATCTAATTAATATATTCCTTTGGTTATAATTTATATTTGTGTATGCTACTATATGTACGAGTACCTATATCTTTAAAGGTCTAATATAATTGAAACTAGAAATTTTTGTACAAATTGAGATTTAGGTGTACTTTTACATAGTTAGTATTAATCGAAAACAAACATTATTACACATAACGCATTATGTTTTACATTAGTACACACTACGTTATACGTCATTAGGTACTACATAATCAAGTGGTTCTGGTATAAAGATATAAATTGGCATTTTTTTATTATGATGCTATTATGTTTATCTCAAACGTTACTTATTCTCACCAAACAACTTAGTTGGGTTGTACCATCTTACTTTAACTAACAAACGTCAAAAATCTGTCAAATTCCAGGTTTGGTTTGGCTTATGAAATGGCTTTATACCTTTGTTGAGTTATTATAATTGTCCTAGTTTTAAAGCCTCCTGGTAGCTTTCTATTTCTTTCCGTTTTATATTTTGAAGCAGTTCAGTGCACGTGTGTCCTCTCATTTTGAGGACGCTTTCACCCTGGAAGAAGAAGTTTAAATACATTTTATAAAAAAATCTAACATTTAAAAGATTAATCGAAGTTAGTTTGATGTCGCGCTCGCACACTCACTGCGGGCGCCCGTCGCACAGTCGCGACAGCAATATAATTACGCGCGAGCGATAAGAATGGGTAGCTTGGGGTCATTGGACAAAATTCTACGTGCTCACAGACCGGGCTTTAGTTCATAAGTTAGTTTATTTATAAATAAACTTTGAAACTATTGAACGGATTTCGAAAAATCTTTCACCAGTAGAAAGCTACATTATTCCTGAGTGACATAGGGAAGACAAGTCGTGGACAAAAGCTAGTATTTCTTCATAATTACCCGAACAGTAAGGCTGCCAGTGCATTTGTACTTCTTGTACCTGGAACACCTCCATATCGAAGACTGGTTCTTGAAGGACTTCAGTTTGTGGTAGCAGTGTTCCGCACAAATGAGCACTGTGCCTTTATTTCTCTGAACGAACATTATTTCTGGTGAAAGCTCTATGAAGTAGTTCGAATTGGGTCCCCACCCTGTAAATAATTTACCTGTCAGTATCGATTTTATTAGTTTCTGTAACAAAACATTAAGCTTAAAAGGAGACTTACCCATTTTTGCCAATGGGAGGACTCAAACGTATTCTACACTAACTACGATATAGGATATCTAAGCCTTCAAATTAAAATGCAAAAATAAAAAGTAATTCTTTCTTGAATACCTACTTTATTTGCACTACGTAAATATTATAAAAAAGTCAACCATTTATAATTTAATTGTTTACATTATACAACATACATTACTTACCATTACACTACACTTACATTACACTTACCATTATTTGATTAATTAAAAATACACGACATACTACACACTTATTTTATTCATATAATACTTAATACTAGTCTATTACTTAGATCAAGTAAATTGCAATATAATATTAAGATTAAATTCTTACAGTCTATTACAGTCATAAAGATGTGGTATGGTACTGATGGTATGGGATTTGAAGCGACAGTAGCCCAATGGTCGGTGTCAGATCATATCCGAGGAACGCGGGTTCGAACCTCGCCGCTTTGGACTATTATGGTGATCCCACTCGTAACACAAACATATTTGGCTTACCACGAGAGGTTAACGGACTTAATATTCTTGATTTTAAACTTTCAAGTTCCATTACATAGTAAAACTCGATGGAGTTAACTGCACACCTGGGAGCCGTGACGTCACATTAACGCTCTTGTACGGACGCACGGGGCGATCGCAGGGAGGTGTGCGGAAGAGTGTGAGGGAGAGGTCGCATTTAGAGTAGGACTAGGCGCACACCATTGATTTTTCGTCGGCCGATAGTTTAGTCGGGCAGTTGATCAGTATGGGCATGTATGGGAGTGCGCACACTACGCCGATTCGATTTGGCCGATTCTTCATACAATTTGAAATCGGGCACAACTATCAGCTAAATAAAAATCAACGGTGTGCGCCTACTCTTAGTGAGGTGTGCAGTTAGCTCGATCGTGTTGTATGTCGTTGAGACCCGTGTTTCTCTATTTTAATCTATCTTAATATAATATCCATCTTTGCTGACGTGGTACCTAGGTGGTGGATGGTTATGACACAGGTTGATGCAGACTAGCCTTCCATCGTTCTCTATTCTGATCTTGGCTTCGCATCCCTTGTTCCTAGATGAGCAGATCCAATTTTTGCAGGTCTTGTTCGATCTTGAGAAGGTATACTTATCCACCATAGCGATCTGCCCCCGGTTGGAAAACTTGGAATCTATGTAAATGTATCCTTTATCTGAAAAACAAATTTTATTTAATTATTTAGAGTTAGACAAATGTTTCCTACAATGACCGGTCCTACTCAATCCCAAGCACTGCGACCTTGACCAGATCGTCAGTCGTCAGTCTACCGAGTGGGTCTGCCTACACTACGCTTGCCCGGGCTACTTGTGAACTTTTTGCTCTAACAGCCATCAACTATGCCCACTGCCACTAGAAGTTTGGCAAAATAATGCCCGTTTTCACCATCAATCCCTAATTTTAAGTGATGGTGAAACTTAACAGGAATTTTGTTATCATAGGGGTCACTTAAAAATTAGGCATTGATGGTGAAAACGGACATAAGTCTTTTTTCAATTTTGACGAAGATTTGGCGGTAGACGTCAAAAATATTTGCAGCAAATTAACCATTATTGGGTTCTTCAAATGCCTCCTTTTTTCTCTAAAGTTCACTAGTTACAGCATAAATAAAAAACAATACTATTACTTTATAAAAATGTATTATACTAAGTAGGTATTCAAATTAAAAATTGAGTGAAATTAAATCCTCATAATGTTCAAAAAGATTTACCTACACCTACTTATTTTGATATATTTTCCAGTTTTCGCGTGTCGCCCGTTGCAAAACAAATAAACAAACGATGCTTGCTTAAGGGAAGCAGCAAATCGAACGCACAGCGTTGAATAGAGCTTTGTAGTTGGTTCGTGTCACCCTGTGTGTCCACGGGCTCTATGAGACATCATAGTAATGTTTGTGAATACTGGCGAGTATGTCGTTAAACCCCGTGTTTCTATTTTAATCTATCTTAATATAGTTTCCATGGCTAGTGACGTGGTATTTAGGGGGTAGGTGGTTATGTGCAAGGTTGATGCAGACTAGCGTCCCATCTTTTTGTATTCTGATCTTGGCTTCGCACCCCTTCTTACGAGATGAGCAGTACCAAATTTGGCAGGTCTTGTTCGCTCTTGAGAAGGTATAGTTCTCTACCATCGCGACCTGCCCCTGACTGGAACCTATGTATATGTATCCTTTATCTGAAAAACAAAGATTTAGTTTTCTTAGGATATTTAAGGGGACTATTCCCACCTCTCGTTCCCACCACTGCAACTCCTGTGTAGCCAGGATCTACAGCTTGACCGCCACAAAAACCCAACCAATGAAGGTCAAGTTTGTCCCGGGGGAAAGTTAAACTGTCATTGGACCCGCAACGAAATTAATCAGAAGAACATAGGAGGAGTTCGAAATTAAGGTTCGACTTCCCTACATTGCAAACAAAGGTTTAAAACCTTTAAGAAAAAGATTATGCACCACGGACAATAAATTAAATTAAGGGGGCCTATCTTATGAGCAATTAGCAACTACCTGCCAATAATATTTTGTTTTTTCTTAGGATATGCTGCTTTTTATTTTTGACGCTAAGCAACATAAGACGGGCTGTTGGACAAATACAACGACAGGTCCTGTCCGCTTCTAAGCACTTCCCACAAATTTAACCGACCAGACTGTCAATCGTCAGTCTAGTCAGTGGGAGGCCTGCCTACACTGCTCGTCAGGTCAGTAGTGTGAGGTTAACTTAACACACTGTCACTTAAGTTTGATAAAATGTTAAGGCTGGGTTGCACCATCTTACTTTGCAACGCTGCAACGGGGCGTCTTAGCTAGCTCAGTCTGACACCCCGCTGTTTAGTACTAAGTCCCAGTTCGCCTTCTGCGATGAGGGAGGTGTACCTATCTAGGATGCCTACAGGGATATTGACCAAGGAAACGCACAATCAATAACACAATGACACTTTGTATTTCTAGTTCCACAATGGTTCCTTATTCTAACTTCACTGACTCGAAATTTATTATTACTACAAGTAAGTACTTTACAGGTTATTTCACAATTATAAATTAATGGCACTGAGAGGTATAGCGACGCGCCCGGTTCGCGTCCCGAAACTAGTTTACGTATCCGCGAGAGGGGCGGCGCCCTGTGCGAGGTTTAGCGAGTGTTAGTTTGGATACTTATAACTAGGGGGGTAGGATGTGGTCCGATTAGCTCGAGCCAGAGACTGAAGCCTCGATAGTGAGCGTGACCACTGGGGAAAGGCGTTGGACCTACGGGGCGAGGGGGTGTGAAGTTCAGGAAGGGTGGCAGCAGGATTGCTACCGCAGGTTCGGGATGAGTATCACATGCACTACTCGGTAAGGACGAGAATAGGTAGCTAACAACGATAGAACGTTTCAACAGCAACACGAAGCTTTATGGCTCCGCGGAGGTAAACGAGGTATCGAGTCAAGTTAGTGGGAACAGTGTGGGTAGCAATTCGCTAGGGACTCTGTGCATTGCAACCGAGGGAACAATAGACGCGCGCGCGAACGTCTGGTTGTTGCAATGGCTCCCGAGCGAATGCTANCAACAGCAACACGAAGCTTTATGGCTCCGCGGAGGTAAACGAGGTATCGAGTCAAGTTAGTGGGAACAGTGTGGGTAGCAATTCGCTAGGGACTCTGTGCATTGCAACCGAGGGAACAATAGACGCGCGCGCGAACGTCTGGTTGTTGCAATGGCTCCCGAGCGAATGCTAGGCGCCCTTTTTTTTTTTTTTTGGACGCGCGCTGGTAGCTTGAGGAGCTTTTCCAGCTTCACCGGGCAGAGTGGCGAGTACAGAAGGTACTCTAGCCGTTTGGCGATCGTCGGTCGCAGACCGACGTTCGCGATCGGGCCGTATCGAGCGCATAAGGCGCCCGATCAGTGGCGAACCCAACTAGAGGGTTGCCCACCGCGGTGTTGGACCAAAGTCCAGCCAGCCTACGGCGGGCTCACTCTAGTGGGCCCAATCGAGGGGAGCTAGGCGCCCGCGGTCGCCGCCGTCTCTTATATTAGCTCGGTCCGTGCGGCGTGCGGCCGCGCAGCCGTAGGGTTGTCAAAATCTCTGCGCTCGGTGCTAGGGCTGTCGATGCGTCGCGGGGCGCGTCACAACTTTAACTATAACAAACATAAAAAATCTGTCAACTTTATACAAAAAGCACGGTTACGGTCAAAGTTGAGTGGTGCAACTCAGTGTAAGGTTTTTGACGTTTGTTAAAGTCAAAATAAGGTGGAGCAACCCAGCCTAAGTTTTATTTTAAGTTTTGACAAAGATTTGGCGATAGACGGCAAAAAATAATTACAATAATTCTTCACGTGTCTCCTTATTTTTCTTCACAGTTAACTCGATACAACATAAATTGGGTGAAATGAAATCCTGCATTCCTGATAAATAGTAACTCAAACATTTACTTAAATTTTGATATATTTTCCACTATTAGTGATGTGATATCTCGGTGCTCTATGATTGTGGTCCAAATTGAGGGGGGTGAGATTCCCGTCTTTGTCGATATTGATCCTCGCTTCACACTTGGTCTTGTACCTGGATGAACACTGCCACGTTCTACTATTCCTGTTCGATTTGGAGTAAGTATAGTTGTCAAACATTACGAGCTGCCCTCTGGGTAAGCCTATGTACTCGTACGTGTAATCAGATCCTGAAATATTTGTGTAATTATGTAGAGATACAACCTTAGGGGTAAAATCAAAATTATATTTAGTCCGTCAGACAGATAATAAAAAAGATTTCAAATTCAAATTCAAACTCAAGCGTGACGTAACGCGCCATTTCAACTCGATGTAGCACTGTTATAGATGACCCACGCTGAACTGTCCCACCAAACTCAATGACAGGGGGGCGCTACCATCGTTCAACTATATGGTTTCCAACATGACAAAAATCGGAACCAGCGATCCGGTATTGACGGTGGCGCCCCACTGTCAATGTCATCGATAGGACAGTCCAGTATTTTGGAACTATATTATTTAATTATGAAAGAAAATAAAAAAATATGAGTCTAATATTTTCTAACTATCTGTCTGACGGACAAATAATTTAAATTTTGTCATCTAGCCTATTACGAGCATAACATAAGATTCATCATCATCATTTCAGCTACAGGACGTCCACTGCTGAGCATAGGACTCCCCCAATGACTTCCACATCGCACGGTTGGTTGGTGACTGCATCCAGCGCCTTCCTGCTACCTTTATCAGGTCGTCGGTCCACCTTGTGGGTGGACGTCCCACAACAATAAGATTAATAATAAATAAATAATTAGGTTTCACATTTATATTATATTCCTATAAATGCACACAGCATATAGTATTATAAATACTTAAGAAATAGAATATTGAATAGACTAATTTTACTTTTACTTAAAAAACTTAGCGACTGACATTTAATTGATATTTTTAAACGAATAGAATATTGAAAAAATATATTGAAAAAATATATTCGAATTGGTGGTAGGTGTTATTATTATAAAATCTGTACATTCGAAACATAATGTTATTAAGTAGGTATAATATGCTACATTGTTACTGTAAAGAGGTATTTGCTTATTTACTATCGGTTAACATCACATATTAAATAAATAATTAAATATCTTTGGACATTTCACACTGCGCCTCTACTCCCAAACTAAGCAAAGCGTGTACTATGGGTACTAGACATATAAACATACTTTAATTACTTTTAAACATACATATTATAGACTAGCTTTCCACCCGCGGCGTTGAATTTTGTCGTTCACAGAAAAACTTTATCGCGCGCGTCCCTGTTTCAAAAGCCGCGTTAAAAACTATCCTATGAACTTTCCGGGGACTCAAACTATCTCTATAAAAATTTCATCAAGAACAGTTCAGTGGTTTAGGCGTGAAAGCAAGACAGACAGACAGACAGACAGAGTTACTTTCGCATTTATAATATTAGTATAAAGCCCGGTCTGTGAAAACGTAGAATTTTGTCCAATGACCCTTAGCTAGCTTATCGCTCACGCGTAATTATATTGCTGTCGCGACTGTGCGACTGGCACCCGCAGTGAGTGTGCGAGCGCGATAGCAACATAATTACGCGCGAGCGATAAGGATGGGTAGCTTGGGGTCATTGGACAAAATTCTACGTGCTCACAGACCAGACTATAGAAGTATAGATAATATTTATAGATTAGTATTGATAGATATAGATAGACAGAGCAGATAAAATCGTTAGTACGAACTAAGTATTTTCAACCGGTTTTCTTTGTTCCCGTTTACGCGATTTCCATAAGGTTCTGATGTTGTGTTGTTCCTCTGGCGGCATGCTTGAAATCAACTTTTTATGTTTATGATAACTTTCTCTATTTTTTCTTTTTCGTTCAGCCATTTTTTCTGGGTCTGCTTTGAGTTTTTCTCTATAGCGTCTCGATTTCTCCTTCTCCGACAATTTCGTTTTACCTGAAATGAGATGAAAAAATAATGTTTTAGTATAATAAAAACTACTGTGCGACTTGGTACACATAGGCGGTTATCACACTGCGCCGCGCTCCGCCGTGGAGCGCGTGATTTCATATAAAAAATCACGCGCGCGGACGCGTTGTCAGTGTGAAGTGCCGCGCGTGTTTTCCATACAAACTGAGGTACTTGCATACAATGATTAAATCTGTCGCCCCGCGCTCCGCAGCAGAGCGCGGCGCAGTGTGATAACCGCCATAAAGGTAGTTTTTCCCGTTTTTGATAGCTAACTTTCAATGAATATGCACCTTGGAGTTAAATAATTTTAATTATAAAAAGCATGACTATGAGATAGTATAATATTGTATAATATAATTAAAATACATTAGAAAAAATACAAAAAAGTAAAAGCGTACATTGAGATTACATTTCCATTGATTAAAGTTTCTAATCAAATCCATATTGATACTTATTCTATATCTATGACTATGATATATTTTATGTTAGAGAGAACTACATGCAAGTCTATTCTATTAAGATCTATCTGATATATTGATTTTAAACACGACACAGTTTAAAATTCTTACACTATTACTTTAGTATTCATTTATTTATACCGCTTGGGATAGTAGTTAATTATCAAAACATTTACATTATACATACTCAATTGATCCAATGAAAGGAGCTATTTCGAGAAGCCAGTCGAATAAGTAACACATTATTGATTAATACCCGTTTTCACCATCAATCCCTAATTTTTAAGTGACCTCTATTAAAACAAAATTCCTGTTATGTGTTACCATACCATAGGGGGTCACTTAAAAATTAGGGATTGATGGTGAAAACGGGCATAAGTGACCTGATGATTTTTTTGTGTTTTAGATGGCGCAGTACAATGTACAAGCTACACAGGAATGGCAGTGGTGGGAAATAGAGACGGGAATAATCCCGTTTCCCACATTAATGACCTGTGAAATTAAGACTTCTACTGCTAAATAGCTAATCTAAGTTTCGGCTTCAGGGTTCTCTTCTTCATCCTTCAGGTCCATATTCGGGAAAGACGTTTCTGAACACGAATGACTTTTACATCTTATCACGCACCCATCCTGTGAAAAGATATCAATCTTACATTATTTGGAGGTAGAAGAATACCAGGAGTTGAATTTTTAAAGGCAGATTGGTAGTACGTAAGTAGGTACTATAGATTAGTATAGGTTTCAGTATATCCTGGTACACACTATAATAAAATTTTGGTGACTACGGTGGACATTTTCATAAAGACGGTACTCCTTACAAATTGCAAAAATGTATATAAAAATCGAACCAGGAAGAATTTTTTACTGCTTTGTACTAAGTGATTGATTGTGTTGTGTGTGTAAAATACCACCTATTACTTCATAAAACACAAGAACCTTTATCTTGATATGCTCTCTATACCATACTGCCATAATAAAGCCATGAAAGACCAAACAAACTCACTTTAACGGTGGCACTGCCAAGGCACCCCATCTTGCCGTACTCAGAACACCTCCATATCGTGGAGTCCTTACACTCCTTCTGCTTGAAGTATCTGTGCTCGCCCCATAATAACGCCATGCCTTTGGGCCTCATTACGAAATAAGGGTCGTCGTCAGTGCCAAGATTTTTTTCTGGAATCCATGCTGGAAAGACATACGTGTGGTTAGTTTGGAACAGTTCCAATTTTCAAAGCAAATTGGCCATTATTAAAAGTTCTTTTACGGGACTATTCCCACCTCTCGTTTCCACCGCTGAAACTCCTGTGTAGCCAGGATTAGTTTGACCACCAATAAAAACCCAACCAGTGGGGGCCAAGTTTATCACGGTCAAAAATTAAACTAATTAAGTCTGGACCCGCAACAAAACGAGTTCTTCTAGTAAACGATTTCCACACATAATTGTGAGGATAGGCTACCAAAAAATTTAACAATCCCTCTCACCTTTGCAATAAAGTCCCTGCTTATTGATGTGGTACTTGGGCGGCGGGTGGTTATGGTCCGGGTGGTATTCCAGGAGCGATTCCGTCTCATCGTGAACCCTGATCTTGGCTCGGCACTGGGTGCTCTGCCGGTTGGAGCAGGTCCAGATGTTGGAACGCCGGTTGATCCTGATGAACGTGTAGTCTTGCACCATCGCCAGGATACCCCGGCCGGTCTTTATCAGTTTACACTCGATGTCTGCAAGAATAAGGCATGTTATTATCTATTTAGAGATGACCTAACTAAAATTTTTAGCAGTTTTACTACCAGAACCAAAAGACTAAGAACACACTTAAACTTTGCTGAGCAGTTCATATAGAGGTCGTTGATTTGGACTTCAACAAATTAGTAATGTGCAGTTAGAGTAGGCGCACACCGTTGATTTGTAGTTGGCCGATAGTTGTGCCCGATTTTAAATTGTATGAAGAATCGGCCAAATCGAATCGGCGTAGTGTGCGCACTCCCATACATGCCCATACTGATCAACTGCCCGACTAAACTATCGGCCGACGAAAAATCAACGGTGTGCGCCTACTCTTACAAGTAGCTTTTAGAATTTATACCATATAACAGTGGAATAAACTACACAATGCTAAAAAATTTTGCACTCGTGACTTTTCTCAAAATATACCTGGGAGACACCATACCGAAAAATAGATGTTGGATACTGGGAAAAGGTAAAATAAAACAAACTAACTTTATATTTATTAGTCGAGATAAGTTTGCTGATAACATTTATAAGGCATGTTATGACATCAAACTAAACATTTTTGTTGCGAAATCGAACTTATCACAACTGCTTAAGTTCCGGGCTGTGCTCGCTGAATTTTCTTTTACTAAAGCCCGGTCTGTGAGCACGTAGAATTTTGTCCAATGACCCCTAGCTACCCATCCTTATCGCTCGCGCGTAATTACATATATTGCTGCGCGACTGTGCGACGGGCGGCCGCAGTGAGTGTGCGAGCGCGACAGCAACATAATTACGCGCGAGCGATAAGGATGGGTAGCTTGGGGTCATTGGACAAAATTCTACGTGCTCGCAGACCAAACTATAGAAGTCATAACCGTGCGCTTTTAAATCTCCAATTATTCCATAATCTGTATTAATATAGGTAACATCAATAAATATATCCTTTAATTACACAAACAGATAAGTACATATGCATAAATATGTATGGAGTGATTAAGTTCTCCTGATAAATTCCTACTTTCTGGACACTTTTTATATCTATGATTATATGACTATAATAACAATTATAATATTATAATCAGTGTGTTAACATAAATAGGTAATAAATTTGTTTTTTTCTGAATACTTTGACCATAGGAGGGAGACTAGAACAAATCTGTTTACAGAAGTTATTTTAACATTGTTTAAATATTTTACTTTTGTTTATAAATTATATTGAATAAACTAATTATATGTATTATTCGTACATCATATTATGACGCACTTTTTTGGCATAAAAATCTCTTAAATCAGGCGATATCCATGACCATGTGCTTGCATGATGAGCAGATTCACTTAAAGTATGACTAGATCAAGATCAACATCTTACATTTTCAATACAACGAATACTTATCTTTAGAGGTCAGCAGAATACTGCTAAGGCCAAGTCTCCATCAAGGCAAAGGCGAGAGATAGATCCAAGCCATAAGTAGGCAATTATGCCAATAGAATTTGATAACTATCACCAGATACTAAGGCCCAGTTTGAATTGAGATTTCCAGCTTGAGCGTGCGCATCTTCAACTTAAGGATTTTGATGTGAAAAGTTAACTATGCACCTGGCGGCTGTGACGTCACATNCTACAAAATATCAAGCGCACACGTAAGGCTTTGATTTAAATAAAAAAGTAATGAAATCGGACAAATGGTTTTCAAGTTATGGTTGATTTTCTAAAATTGACTGCCATTTTTGTTAGCTTCGACTTAGAGATGCCAATCATTGTTTTACAATAGCGTAATAAAATTATTAACCTGCTGTGAGAAGGGAATTGAGTATCCTCAAATTAAATCGATATCTTGGCTGACCCATGGATTAATTAGGAATACATTAAAATCGCGCGCGTAAATGCCTAATTCTGGTCAAAATGCCAATTCTGTTTTTCAAGTATTTATGGATTTATTGGTTTTTAAACTATTTTAAACCTTGCTGTGACTCATTGTGTACCCTCAAATTTCATAAAAACGCTATTTTTGTATTATTTATAGTTTTTGTTAGGAACCCCTAAAATAGCAATTTTAATTTTTTTTAAGGAAAGGTAGAGGCCTCAAGATGACAGATATCTAATTAAATTTTATGCTAATCGTAATCTATATGTCAAAACGCAACTTTTGATACCTCTTGCGTAACCGTAGCTCAAAAATAATTTTTCCCCATACAACGACGGGACACCCTGAACAAATCTGTTTACAGAAGTTATTTTAACATTGTTTAAATATTTTACTTTTGTTTATAAATTATATTGAATAAACTAATTATATGTATTATTCGTACATCATATTATGACGCACTTTTTTGGCAAAAAAATCTCTTAAATCAGGCGATATCCATGACCATGTGCTTGNGAGTGATTAAGTTCTCCTGATAAATTCCTACTTTCTGGACACTTTTTATATCTATGATTATATGACTATAATAACAATTATAATATTATAATCAGTGTGTTAACATAAATAGGTAATAAATTTGTTTTTTTCTGAATACTTTGACCATAGGAGGGAGACTAGAACAAATCTGTTTACAGAAGTTATTTTAACATTGTTTAAATATTTTACTTTTGTTTATAAATTATATTGAATAAACTAATTATATGTATTATTCGTACATCATATTATGACGCACTTTTTTGGCATAAAAATCTCTTAAATCAGGCGATATCCATGACCATGTGCTTGCATGATGAGCAGATTCACTTAAAGTATGACTAGATCAAGATCAACATCTTACATTTTCAATACAACGAATACTTATCTTTAGAGGTCAGCAGAATACTGCTAAGGCCAAGTCTCCATCAAGGCAAAGGCGAGAGATAGATCCAAGCCATAAGTAGGCAATTATGCCAATAGAATTTGATAACTATCACCAGATACTAAGGCCCAGTTTGAATTGAGATTTCCAGCTTGAGCGTGCGCATCTTCAACTTAAGGATTTTGATGTGAAAAGTTAACTATGCACCTGGCGGCTGTGACGTCACATCGACCTTCGGTGTGCGAGTAAGTGGGAGAGTGAGTCGCTTTCCAGCGAGGTCCGCAGTTAGCTGATCATATCATACACAAGTCAAATCTCTTCATTCAGAAACTTAGCCTCTAGTCAAGTGTAAATAAACAATACTACTTAGTATATAACTTTACATAAGTCCCATCTGCGTCGATATAATACCGCGGGGGTGGGTGAGTGTGCTTCAGCATGATGCCCAGGAGTTGGTTGTACTTGTTCACCCTCAACCGAGCCTTGCATTGCCTCCCGGACTTGCTGGAGCAAGCCCACGTGTGGGAAATTCTGTTCGCTTTGGAGAACGTGTAGCCGTTCACCATGATTAGCTGTCCTCGCGAGGAGTCTATCACTTTATACCGTGTTTCTGCAACAATTTTACAGGTTAGATATGTTTGTCCTTTTGTTTAAAATTTGATCACCGGCAGTACAGTCAGCGTCAAATTCGTGACATTCAAAATGGCCAAAAAGTTGACAACAGAACTGTAATAAAGACGTGTTGCGAACTTAATGGTTACTTTAGGTAAAGCCTGGTCCGTGAGCACGTAGAATTTTGTCCAATGACCCCAAGCTACCCATCCTTATCGTTCGCGCGTAATTATGTTGCTGTCGCGCTCGCACACTCACTGCGGGCGCCCGTCGCACAGTTGCGACAGCAATATAATTACGCGCGAGCGATATATACATATACAGTGTGAGTCACGTTAAAGTGTACATGAGTATTTCTCAAAAAAAATGTACGTAACGAAACGGTAGTAACGAAATAGTAAGGCCATAACATAAGGCTTGTTATACATTGGCGAAATATTTGAATGCTCTTTATTTATTCAATTCGAAATATTTGTAAGTATGCACCCAAATACGGGGTAATATTAAGGGGTTAGAAATAAAATAAGGAAGTAATCATTCATACTATTTTAATAAAATTATTTTTTGTTCCATCATGTTTATCCATTTTGAGTCGTTCTCTGTAAGCTTNTGGGAAATCCTGTTCGCTTTGGAGAACGTGTAGCCGTTCACCATGATTAGCTGCCCTCGGGAGGAATCTATCACTTTATACCGTGTTTCTGCAACAATTTTACAGGTTAGAGATGTTTGTCCTTTTGTTTAAAATTTGATCACCAGCAGTGTACCTACCATGAGTTTACGTTAGGTGTGCTCGCTAGCGATTACGTCAAAAATCTCTATGAAGTTTTTGTTTCTTGAAAGTAGCCGCTAGGGGCGCTGCACAATATGTCATATTAATTAATATCATTTTTTTACGCAGTCGCTAGCGAGCACACCTAACGTAAACTCATGGTAAGCACACAGTACAGTCAGCGTCAAATTCGTTACATTCAAAATGGCCAAAAAGTTGACAACAGAACTGTAATAAAGACGTGTTGCGAACTTAATGGTTACTTTAGGTAAAGCCTGGTCCGTGAGCACGTAGAATTTTGTCCAATGACCCCAAGCTACCCATCCTTATCGCTCGCGCGTAATTATGTTGCTGTCGCGCTCGCACACTCACTGCGGGCGCCCGTCGCACAGTCGCGACAGCAATATAATTACGCGCGAGCGATATATATATATATAGGTATAACGAATTATTTGACACTCACGCTGCTGATCCAGTCCTGAAATCACACAGCCAGAAATGATTATGAAGCACATACGGATACAAGCGGATATACCCCCATCAATTTCCATTCCTTCATGGTAAGAGGCCTATTCAATGGACCGACGATCTGTTCACCAGGAACGATCTTCTGTGGCAAAGTGTGCATGTGAATGTGGCGCCTTCATGAAATCATTTTCAGGGTAAAATACATACGAGTGGTTCAAATAAATGCACATAAGTTTATTGAAAACATTTTTATTGCCATTTCAAAAATATGATTAAACATCAATGAAAAATATTTTATATAGAATTCAACAACACAGCTTACTACGTAATATTCAACTTGTTTTCAAGTAATTGTTATTCAACCAAACGTAAAATCAACTAGGTACTTACGATAATCTAAAAAACTGACCTAAATTGTTTTTTTGTCATAAACAATACTAAAGTATACACTTCTACAGATTTGTTTTAGAAGTAAAAGATAACTCAGAATTCTTTAAAATAATACATTTTACTATTTAAACTACCTAAAGTGAACAATATACCTAGTAAAAAGCATTAACTAACAAATATTGACATACTTTTAGAGTATGCTCAGCTGCTTCCATAGTAATTCGATGGTAATTGAACTTAATTATTTTAATTGATCCCAGGTTCGATTCAATTTACAAAACAATGTTATAATTTTATTCCGTATTCGTTAATAATGCTGACGTTCCCGGCAAAAATAATACTAATATTCTTGTATGACATTTTAATTCATATCTGCACAGACAACTGCACATAGTTAATAGCCTTTTATTTAATGGTAAAAAAAGAATCACATGTCTTTGAAAAAATCACGAAAAAGCACTTGATTTTCTAAAAAACATTTGCATCGGCCGGGAATCGAACCCGGGCCGCCCGCGTGGCAGGCGAGCATTCTACCACTGAACCACCGATGCTTATTCATTAATCATAAAAATACACACCAGGTCCAGTACTTATCGGTGCGCAAATAGAAAGGCGGAAAGATGTGCGCTCGCGCATCGCTTGACCTCGGCGAGATAGTGATAGGTCACGTTTGAAATTTCGTTATATTACTTTTACTCGGAGAATTTGATCATAATAATATCGAATGATGTATCGTGTGCACAAAAACCAATTATCTGCGATTGTTTGTAAATTAAGACAAAATAATGTTTGTCTAATTATGAGTATTATGACTAACTAACAAGTAAAATTTGTAACAGCGCGTTCATACGGGAACGGGATCCGTTATTAACGATTCGTCAAAAAAGACGATACGTCATGACGGATGGACTTTGATACTGCATTCGGAATCGTGTTTTTTCACGATTCGTCAAAATATCTTTAAAAGACAGAAGAGAGAGAAAATGTGATTTTTAAAAGACGATAGGTGAGATAAGATGTGTCTGTATTTACGAACAATACGATTTGATGCGTAAAAACACTGGCATTTATAAAACATCGTCGCCGTAAAAAAAATACAAATCGTGAAAACAGAATATTCGTCAAAAAACATGAATCGTCCTCGGGTGAACGCGCTGTTTAGTTAAAAAATCATCATAATTATTGACATTTGGGGTACAAAAGAATGTTAAACCAACGTCAGTTATGCGTATGATTCAGGTTGAATTTGCTGATGTTCTGGTGTTCGTCCAGCATGATCCTGGCGGGGCACTTCTGGGACTTCCTTTTAGAGCAGTACCAGCATCGTGACCTCCAGCTGTTGGAAAAGGTGTACCCGTTGAATAGCATCACCGTCTTGCCGTTCACCTTCGTTATCAACTCGTATACTGTAACGAAAAAAAATAAATGTAAATTCAAATTTTAACTTAGGACTTTTTGTCGTTTCGTAAACGCGCGACAACATCGCTACTAACGCGCGTTAGTCGCATTTGCAACGCACTACAGAAGTGATGCCAACGCGCTACTGACGCGCTACAGCAGCGCAACTGCATCGCTACAAAAAGTCGCCGTGGGCGTAGGCCCTTAAGTCTTTGGGTTTTCTGAAATCGTAGTGTTTTGGATTATTTTTTCAATAAATAAAAAACACTACCCCCTTTAGTTAAAAAGGCGCATTTAACACCAAGTCAAAACGGAGTTTCTTAGCTGTCCTTGAGTTAAACTCATATCCGAAAAAAAATTTAGATGCGCTTTTTCAACTATTGGGGATAACACGGTTCTTATTATTTTTACTATTTATCTTTATTATTTATCAGTCAGCACGTGTCGACAGAAATTTTAATAATATTTTAAACATCACGAATTAAAATAACTACAGTAGCAGTGTAAGTTTAAACTGTAAACCTTGAAGTTATAAAGAGAAAAGAAATAGCATAGAGAGAAATTAATAAAGTATTGTCGCTAACCACAATGTCGACCAAAAATAATCTAAGATTGAGTGAGATCTTTAGTTTTTCCTATTATTTATTTACAAAATGGTCAGTTCCACCAGTTTATTCATCGGTTATTATACAAGTAATGCAGATATATCTCGAATGAAATGGACAAACAAATTTGTCGCAGAGTGTACATAATCGACGCGTGGTTTTGTTGCGTGCCCTCCCACAAGCGTAGCAGCGTCCGACCTTCGTACGCGAGGTATTTAATGATGATGATGACTGGATGGCAGCCAACCTTTCGTTAGAAACTTTGAGCTTTGCCCCTTTCTTCCACGGCTTTTCTGAAACCCAAATGTGTAATATATGAGCCAGAAATACAAGGGTAGCCCTAGTTGATCACACCCTCGGAGTAGCAAACAAAAAAAAATGTCAATTCTCATTACTATGAAAATATATCTGAAAAGTGTCTGATAAATAAACAACAATGTATTATTACTATTATTTATTATCATAGATAGAAAGACAGACACTGGTGACTGAGTTTGTTGTGCACTACTGACCACTGAATGATAAAAATATGATTATATTATTGTCTAACTAATCTGATTATTAGTTATAATCTAGGTACTATAGAATAAAATAAAACAATCTAGCTAACAAGTTTTTATTTTTATTACAAAAATCAAATTTTTGTGATCTGCAATTATTGTTTACAATACTTATTCGTTCGTTTCAGCCAAATGACGTCCACTGTTGGACAAAGGCCTCCCCCAAGGTTTTCCACAATGAACGGTCCTGCGCTGCCCGCATCCAGGCTCTTCCCGCGACCTTTACCAGTACTTATTAGCAGTAATAATGTATTAAAGTAATTAAGATTAATAGTATTTGTAATAAAGTTGGTACTGATTTCAGGTCTTTTATTAAATCTACTTGCCCTCGGTTGTTATTAAATGAGTTCGAAACTAAAACTCGATCGAGTTAACTGCGCACCCAGCTGGAATGCGACTCTTTGATCTTCCAAAACGCCTATTTTGACACTTTACACATTGTTTAACGAAAATGACAACCACCGGCTTAGGTATAAAATACTGACAGTTCCTCTTCAAAATATGTAACATTTTGTCGCGACCACCATGCGCTGTTCTTTTGTGAATCTCTAACAGAGCATCATAATATTCTTCGGAGGGTAGAATTTTTATAATAGGATCACCAGTGGATTTTCGTTTGAAAACTAAATACTTTTGTCCTGATACCTGCATAACTTCATAATGGTTTGCGTAAAAGTATTGGTTGTTATACTCGTTGTTTCCCCTGACGTTTAGTCGAGGTGACGCTTCGTACTCCTCAATGTGGCTTATGACTTTACTAATTCTCTTGCGTGTCCATTCTGGTTTTGTGGTCCTCTCGTTGTATAATAGACGAATTTCTTGTTCAAAACCTCGCCTTGAATTAGATTCTCCATCATAATCCATAGCTAGAAGTAGTTTGCATGAATAAAAGTAATACATATTATCAGATAAATACTACACATTCACTAGAGGCCCAGAACAGACGGTGAAACGCAACTGCAACGAAACTGCAACTGCTAGTTACTTTTGAGTTGCATCTAAGTTTCTGCCATAGCGTCCGTTGAGAGACCACACATGACGCGACGCAACTGAAAGTTTCAAACTAGTCGCGTCATGTGTGATCTCTCAACGGACGCGAAGGCATAAACTTAGATGCAACTCAAAAGTAACTAGTAGTTGCAGTTTCGTTGCAGTTGCGTTTCACTGTCTGTTCTGGGCCTTAACCCCTTGGCTTGAGTTGCACCACCTAACTTTGACCGTAACTTTAACGATAACTAGTGATTTTACCCGACTGCGCCAGAAGGATGGTTATGTATAGAGTTTGACAGATGGATAGATAGAAATATTTTATTGACACAAAACATTTAGGTAAGTATTTTCGTATATCTATGTTACGGTATAAATAAATAAATAAATATCCTTAGACATTTTACACTGCGCCTCTAGTCCCAAACTAAGCAAAGTTTGTACTATGGGTACTAGACAACGGATTTAAACATACTTAAATACTTTTTTTTTGTAAATACATACATAGAAAACACCCAGACCCGTCACAGAAATTAAAATTAATCATTTAAATTTCTGCCCGGCCGGGAATCGAACCCGGGACCTCTCGGCATAGTAGTCCGTTCTGAACCACTACACCAAACGGCCGACGGTATATTTATATACCTAGTCCTAGGACTAGGTATATAAGTATCCCTAGGGATATAACTACAATTTTTATACTAATTACCTCGAGATGAGAGTACTCGTCTCTGTAATACAGGCCCCTCGCCTAGCTCAGATACCAGTCTCTCACAAATTCACAATCAATTTTTATACATGATGTACGTACAATTTTAATACTTTCGTTTCAGTCAGATTGAGGAGAAAAATAAAATTATCATCTTTATTTCATAGGTACAACATATACTCGTATACAGGATAACTAGGTGTGTTATGTATTTATTTATTTTAAAAAAATGCCCTCGAACTTATAAATTACTTACATAAGTTCTTAGGCTTTGTATTTTATTTTGGTCAGGCTAGCAAAATTTCAGTTATTTGTCCGTCAGACAGATTATTAGAAAACATTAGACTAGTATTTTTTATTTTCTTTCATAATAAAATAGCAACAGTGCTACATAGAGTTTAAATGTTGCGTGACGTCACTTTTAAGTACCTATATTTTTTACTCAAAAGTGATGCCACGCGACTTTTCAACTCATTATAATACTGTAATGATTCGATTACGAAAAAAATGAAAAAATACGTNAAATACGTGTCCAATATTTTTTTATCTACTACCTATATAAAAATAAGTCGGGTTTTCCTTCCTGACGCTATAACTCCAGAACGCACGAACCGATTTCCACGGTTTTGCATTCGTTGGAAAGGTCTCGGGCTCCGTGAGGTTCATAGCAAAGAAAATTCAGGAAAATTTAACAAACGAAATTCCACGCGGGCGATGCCGCGGTCGGAAAGCTAGTTAGATAATAAAAAAATATTGGACACGTATTTTTTCAGACAGATGTCTGACGGACTAAATAGAATTTCGATTTCATTACCCAGTCATCAACCCAAGTATCGTTCCATCCTTAGTTCTATGGAACTGCGGCGGTTCATGGTTATGGTTATGGTTGTAATACACAAGATTCCCCTTCGGAGCAAACCGAACCTTGGCAGGGCACTTGAAGGACATTTTCCTGCAGCAGTGCCAGTATCGGTTGCTCGCCGTGGTCTGCGTGAAGGCGTGATCCTCCATCATGAGGATGGGCTTCTTGCGTTGTGGCGACTCTATCAACTGCATTCTGAAGCCTGAAATTAATTATAGCATTTAATCGTCAGTTCGTTTCAGTCAAATGACGTCCACTGCTGGACAAAGGCCTCTCCCAAGGATTTCCATAACGACCTGTTCCTGCGCTGCCCGCATCCAGGCTCTTCCCATAAACTAGCATTTAATACATAGTGTAATTAACTATAACGACACTTAAGAAACGGATGTCCGTTTCCACCATCAATTCCTAATTTTGAAGTGTCCCCTATTCATACAAAATGCCTGCTAAGTGCTACCATAGGGGTCACTTAAAAATGAGGGATTAATGGTGAAAGGGCATGACACCCTTATTCACAAACGATGCTTGTTTATGTGAAACAGCAACGGTATGCGGAGTCAAATTCACAGCGTTGAATAGAGCTCTGTGATTGGTTCGTGTGTGTCACTCTGCCACTCAAGTATTGTCTATGAATAGGTTTTTTGGACCCTGTGTGTCCACGTGCACTGTGAGACCTCATAGTAATGTTGGTGAATACGGGTTTTTAAGCATTTTTTGACGGTAAGAGAGTGGTCGTTAAATAGAGTGACACGGTAAAGCGGATAGAGAACATGGTAAACCAACAAAGTCAAGAAATTAAAAAAAAACTAAATCAAAAATATTTATTCAGTCAGTAAGGAGTCTAGGAGTCCGTCGTTCAATCAAGTATAAAAAGTTTACACTGTAAATATCTTCTACTTCTACTAGACCTGTGAAAATGGCTGCTCCTTCAAAAAGTCATTCAACAATGAAAACTCGTATATCTTTACTTGTAAAAGTTTATTTTATGAATCACACACAATCTAACATAATTTATAATACTCGTAAAGTTTTTCAGCGAAAAATACTACTAACATGCAAAAAGTTCACACTATTTACTATAATTATTACACAGAAACACTACTGCTGCAACATACGCATACAATTTTTCTGTTTTAGTGAAGTGTAGTTTAGTCTATGCAGGAAATTGGTCGAGACGTATAGTGTGAACACGCACTTCAGTTAGTTTCGCTGGTTTCGGCGTGCATCCGTTCGGTGGGGTTCCCTACTTGTTTTCGAAAGTTGATAGTTCGATTTTTATTACATCGAACACGTTGTGTCGGTAATTCAGTTGTGCGATATTTTGTTCCATCGATGCTTTATTGGTGCGACGATGTAACGTTTGTGCGTAAAATCCTGTAGCGAAAAACTCTATAGCGATTGCTCATTACTTCGATAGTACCTAATGTCGGTTCGAAATGCCTACTATTAAATGGACTATTTACATTGAACTAAATACCATAATTTGTAAAATAAACACTAATAAAATAAATATCATAGGTACCTACAAATCTTCATGTTTTTATTATTTATTAATTTTAGGAATTACGAAGACAGGCAATAAATTAAGGGGTTATAATTCAAGCCGTAAATATTTTTTTTGCCACGGCATCTAACTTCTGATTTTATTGTCATTATTATTTACGCCTACCCACAAAACTGTGATTCTACATACATAAAAGTAATGGTAACTTTTAAAATTACTCAATAATAAACAACTAAGTAAATAGATATATTAAACATACTCAATCGCCGTCAATAAATAAATATTTTTACAAAAAATAAAATCTAATTTTTATTTACTATCGTAATTTTTATAGCCAAAACGCCCGCCGCAAAAAGCAAAGCAAAAGTTTTTTATTATTCTACAGTAAATTATTATGTCTATGACAATTATCAATTAATTTTTTGATTTTGCCTTTTAGTAAACAAATTGCATTTTAATTAGCATTGTTGTTGTTTAAATCAAAGGAATGTTATTTCGAACCGATATTGGAACGAATATTATCAAAGTAATGAGCAATCGCTATAGGGTTTTTCGCTACAGGATTTTTCGCACAAACGTTACATCGCACTAATAAAGCATCGATGGAACAAAATATCGCACAACTGAATTACCGACACAACGTGTTCGATATAATAAAAATCGAACTATCAACTTTGGAAAACAAGTAGGGAACCCGTTAGGTGTGCTTGCTCGCGCATCGTCTCGGTCAATTTCTCGGAAGGTGTAGGTTTGCGCCATACGTAATTTGGTAGTCGGTAGATAGATCATAATACTTATACAGGGTGGAAACGATAAAAGATATCACTCGATTATTTCTAAACTTCACAAGATATTGAAAAACTGGTTACTGATCCTGAAAGTGCTTCACGAACTCTTTCAAACGGTACCAATAATAGGTTACAGAATAAACTGGAACTGCCCGAAAATTCAATGTTTCCAGCTTTCATACGTTTGGTAACGTTACATAATATTAAATTATTTACATAATATTATTCACTTATCGTTTCCACACTGTTTAATGTTTATTTATTAAAATTCATGCGTCGAATTCCGAGACAAATCATCCCAAAGTTTTTTGAAGTGCTACAGACGCGCGTCTTCCGCGTCATAGTCGCGCCGCTGCAGCTGCGGATCTACATTAGTCTAATTTATAATAAAAATTATTTTATCTAAATACAATACAATAGAAAAACTAGTCTCTATGTATTTAACCTTTGAATAAAGTTGCTTGTAAAAAAACATACAAGTATGGCTAAATGGTAAACATAAGATGAATGAAAAAGAAAACCTACTACAAGTTGTTTCATAATTTGGATCGAGGTAAAAAATAATGCTCAGTATTAACAACTAAGCATTATTTGAATGTTATGTATGAATGCCTAGTATGCACTAACCTACTTTTAATAAAGATACCTAAGACAGGCAAACAATTAGGCTTAGTTTACCTTCGCACACTAACTGTAATAATTGAATCCAAATGTAAATCTAGGCTAAGTTTATCAAGTACCTCTTATTTATTTCATAAAGTTTAAAATATGTTGGCTACGATTCAGCCACCACCAAATAGGGTTCATGTATAACCTACTAGCTTTCCGCCCGCGGCTTCGCCCGCGTGGAATTTTGTCTGTCACAGAAAAACTTTATCGCGCGCGTCCCTGTTTCAAAAACCGGGATAAAAACTATCCTATGTTCTTTCCCGGGACTCAAACTATCTCTATGCCAAATTTCATCAAAATCGGTTGCGAGGTTTAAGCGGGAAAGCGTAACAGACAGACAGACAGACAGACAGACAGACAGACAGACAGACAGACAGACAGACAGAGTTACTTTCGCATTTATAATATTAGTTGGGATTTGTACATTTCTACATTCTAACTCCCTTACTAATAAAACTTAC